GAACCGATAGGAAATCGGATGCGTATGGGGGAAAAAAAAAAGCTTGCATGCTTTAAACTATTTCATAAACTATCAAGACACAGCATGTTTCTGGAATTGTTTGTTAGCTTCAGCAGTTTAATATGAACTAGTTACTCTTCAGGCTTTTTATTTCCCTGGGGGCAGAGTGGAAACAAAAAGGTTGTTCTATTTTGATTGCTCGATGAAATCTATTTAATCAGGCATTTACATCGCTGCACGTAATAAAGACAAAATATTTTTAGAATTATGTAATGTGAAGAGTTGTACTAAAGATGGGTACTGTATGTGACTTCAAGACATTAACAGGATGGAAGTCTGAATTTTGTTGTAATGTACAATAAGGGCTGCAAAAGATTGTGTTCTCAAAACAGGTGAGTATTGGGGGTTCCTGTTTATATTCATGTGAATGCAGGTTGACTCCTGTCAGTGACTGTTTCTTGTTTTGCTTTGGTTTATAGAGAAGACAGGGAGTAGTTGTGCATTTATTTCTTGATTGCCCTTTTTCCTCCTAAGAGTTCTCCTCAACACTTGCTTTTTAGATCATATGTTATAGTCTTGGCTATACTTCTGTACACCAGGAAGAGAGGCTTGTCAACAGGGGCTCATCTTTACTTTCCTTCCCTTCTCCTTCTCCCAGCCCTTCCAAAATGCTTCACATGCCGATTTCCTCAAAGTGTCTTTGAGCTTTGCCTGTTAAAAATATACTAAAGTCATTACAGTCTTGGTGTCATATTTCAAGACCTAGCTTCAGTATTTAATGCTGCAGATTTTAGGGGGAAAAAAACCCACTTTTTTCATAGAGCTGGGTGGAGTTAAATAAAGGGAAGGTGTGTCTGAAGTACCTGGCAGCAATTCTTGTACTGTCCAATTTGTTCTTGAACACGAGTTATTGAAGTATGTTTTTCCAATATCCCTTTATACTAGCTCAGCCACTAGTTCTGTTCCTTTCGATGGTCAGGACTAAGGGAAGTGGGAGCTAGGAAGTCTGGAAGTGCCAAATGGAAACCCGTCCTTGTAGGGTCAAGCCTGCCCTGAAGGGAGAGGGAGGCAGTTTGCCTGCATCTGCTCTGCTTTCAAGGCTTCTTGTCTTGTTGCTACCTTGGCAAGAGTTAGCTCTTGGACTGCCTCAGATATGAGTTATTTCATCCTCTGGATCACCACTTCAATTAGCCTTCTAGGGAAAAACACCATGACTAGGGCCAGGTCCTCATGAAAGGGGTAGTGGTGAGAGCAGATTTTAGAGGTTTCAGCCTGTAGTGGGAAGGAAGCTTGCGGCTTTCTACCTAATCCTAGCTATGCATTACTGCTTTCAGTTCATAACATGTCTTTGGATTTCTGGTCACACGTGGCCACTACACCATCCGTTTTCTACTGTCTCAGTCTGAGTTATGTTTTGTTGGCCTGTCCTCCTCTTGTTCGTACTGAAAGCAGTTGAGAAAAGCTGAGGTTGAGGTGTTAAGAACACGTGAGGCATTTAAGCAGCGCTGTATAATGTGGCAGTTCAAAGCTTGGCTTGCTATTTCACCCGTGACTGAAGGCAGAATGTGTTGTCAATACAAACCAAGTTTGTTAGCAATAATTTGACAAGGACACAGGGCATCTGGACATCAAGCTTGAACTTCTGCGAAACGGAACTTTCTTTTCCAGCAGTAGCTGAATGGGAGATAGGCCCAGACATCAAAGTAGGAACTGTATTCAGGGCTTCTTCCCGTTTGCTGTCAATGAAACTTCCATGTTTCCCTCTTTTCCTGTTTTAAATGGATTGTAACCTACTTCAGGTGTTGGAGATCTTAGGGCCTCTTGTTATTTAATGACACTTGCTATCTGCTCCGTGCATGTGTCTCTGTACCTGTCCTCGATGCTGGTACAAGACTCTACTTCTAGCAAGAGAAGCATCAGACGGATCAGTGATTGTCAGAGTGGCAGCATGTAGTAACACACCTCGTGAAGTACTTGTACAAAAGGATGTCCACGCTTTTTGATGTCTTCATATGAAACAGCAGGAAAGTAAATAGTTTCAGCGTTTCTGAATGTGGAGAGAAGTGGCCTGAATCTTCAAAGATGAAGCCAGGCAAAATTTGCAGACCATCAAGGGACAAAATCCAGAAATGAGAAACTACAGTTTATTAAGTTGCTGAAGATACCCTGCAGAAATCCATGAAGCCTTACTTCCTTAAATAAGGTAAACTCTTACAGGCTCTAAAACTGTTCAGGATGCAGGCCAAGTTGACATCTACTTCTTCAAAAAAATGTAATTCATATCCTAATGATGAGTGTTCACTGCCATTTTCTGTAAAAAGATGAATGTAACCAAAGAATTACATAGTGCAGGTCAGCCAAGGTGTTCTTCAGGTCAGCTAAAGGTAAACGAGGCACCAAGTGTTTCCCAGTTGCCTGCATCCTCCATGCAGCTGAGAAGAGGGTTAAGTTGCTCTGTATAATGCAAGATGCAGATAGTGCAGAGAGGTGGATCAAAGTTCATTCCTTATGCTGCACGCTGCTGCTATAGATGTTTTCTTCATCAAGTATGTTTGAATTGCTTTGCAGGGAACTTTCTCCCACAGTCTTTTTAATGCAATCATAACAGAGGACCTCCTCCATTTTTTACTACTGCCAAGCAGAATTCACTTCTTTCATTTCTGGTAAAAGTCTTGGTTCAGTTAAGCTTAATAAGGGGCTTGTATTTTGGCTTTGGGGGATTTTTTTTTTTTTTTCTTAATGTTTTGGGGACTGTCTGGGGAATAATGATTACAACAGTTTCCTAAAACCAGGCAAGGAGTAGGACCACGGTCTGAGAGGAGTCTCTGATGCTGCTCTCAGGACTGCGTACAAAAAACTGCAATCTCTTATCTTGCCTTTTCAGGTTATGCAAGCACAGTTTGCTCAGGACAACAATCCAGATGCACAAACGCTTCAGAAACTGGCAGAAAGAACAGGCTTGAGCAGGCGTGTTATACAGGTAACTGTGCTAAGTTACTTGACTCACAAAGTCTGGTACCCATCCATTGGAAATGCTGAATGACAGTTTTCTCCATGTAGTTATTCTGAGATGGAAAAAAGATCTAATCTGGCAGTTTTAACGTAACTTCAGACAACATCCTTACTCAGGAATAGGTCTAGAACAAACACGTTAATTTGGAAAACTTGCTGTATTACTTTTGCACTTTGTGTGGAGGATTAGTAATCTTCCAGGAAGAAACTTCTCAGCCTAAATAGTATATAAATTTGCACTCTTCTAAATATAAATTTCTGACTTTAATAGTCTGTTCTTAAGACCTGCACTCCTTCTGAAAATGGCTTGTGGTATGACACATGAGGAGTAAGTGAATATCTAGTGATCTGTTCTATAGAGCAGAGTTAAAATATATACCCATGCCATCCAAAACTGAGAAACACAAACTTAGAATCTTTGTATAGAATATAAATCATACATTTGTATGTTTATATAAATAAAAGTAAGTTTGCAGTTCCCTTGGCTTATTCTAGCCTGGAAGATTGACAGAGTGTTTCTATAGAAATGAGGTAACTGGCAGCTGTGATCAAGCCTTAAAAAGTGGAAGCTTGCACGCTTCTCCACATGAAAAAGAAAATGGGTATCCTGTGAAAAACCTGCTTCACCGTCGGTAGCGTTCAGGCACGGAGCTGGCTGTGTCCCATTTACGTGCCTCGGGGCAGCAGTCTCGGCAGCGGTGGGGGTGCCTGTCCCGGGAGCTGTGCAGCCCCTCACCGTGCCTGTCCTTTGTGGGCTGCTGGCCACTGCAGAAGCTTTCCTGACTTGACCACGCTTGTTCGAGGCACCACGTAGGCTTAGAATGAATTCTTCTTCATTTGGACTGTCAGTGTTATGTTAAAGGCCTGACTAACTGAATTCATCTGAAGTTAGAACTCAGGCTTTTATTATGCTAATGTTGAAACAGAATGCAATCTATCAACATGATGTAAATTTTCCCCCTTTTCAGGTGTGGTTTCAAAATTGCAGAGCACGCCATAAGAAACATGTTAGTCCTAATCATTCATCTACTGCTCCTGTCACAGCAGTTCAGCCCTCCAGGCTGTCTCCACCCATGTTAGAAGAAATGGCATACTCTGCGTACGTACCCCAGGATGGGACTATGTTAACTGCTCTACACAGCTATATGGATGGTAGGTATAACAGCTTTGCATTTCCAATTAAAATCATTATTGACTGGAGCAAGAACAGTTCACTAAGTACTGATTAAAGAAACTTAATGGGTTTTTAATTTGTACTATTCTTTATAGAATATCTTAATACTGTACTTGCTATCTACACCTCATTAAGAAGTGTGCCTCTTCAAGCAGTAGTCCTTCACTGTAAAAGCATAGCTGAAGATCTGGGTAGGAAGACCACTTTTTTGTGCTTCCTCCGAACTATGAATACTAGCAATAAGAAATCAAACCCTCTTTTAAACACCTGTGCAACGTGTTTAATAATATGTAACTTTAAAGAAAACTGTTTACCCCCTGCTCCTTGACTCTTACCCCAGCAATTGTAGGTCTGCTCAATCCAGCAATTTCACTGAAAACTTTAGCTTCCCTCACAGTAACATATGGTGGGGGAAGCCCAGTGGTCAAAAGTATGTTTGAGTCATCATGTGTCTTATGACTCAGCAAGTCAACAGCTTTGGCTTGTGATTAGGAGAGACTGTGAAGGTTTTGGGAGAACTAGACTCTGAGCTGCACGTGTGGCCTGAGCTTATTTTTCTCCAAAGCAGTGCTGTAAGGTGGGCTGTGGGTGGAGGAGTGTGAATGCTGGGAAAACAGAGCATGCTGCCGTGGTTGGGACCAGCGCACTGTTATTACCCAATGGAATTTACTAGCATGTAATCTTATTCTACCTCTGATGAAGCTGACAAGTAAATATTTCTGTTTTTGTAGCTCATTCACCTACAGCTCTTGGACTCCAGCCTTTGCTACCCCATTCAATGACACAACTGCCAATAAGTCACACCTAATTCCTTTCTGTCAGGGATATAAACTATTAAGGATGTAACCTTAAGTCATTTATTGTGTATTAAAAATATCATTGGAAAGATATTAATGTTAACTTTTTATTTAACATCTAAAGCATTTTCAAGATCATTTTTGCTGCCCGGGTATGTAAGTATATTTAGCCTGCAAGACACTTTTATGGATTCTGCATAAATAACTATTACATTGTTTACAAGCCTTATTAAACACTTTTTTGTATTGTCTGGAAGTAGTCCACTCTAGTTATGTGTGTGTTAATTTATTTGTCATCAAAAGAGCACTTTGCCTAAAAGAAAGGACTGACAATTGTGCAAAATGTTTACAATTCTTTGTGAAATTGTAGTTTATCATTAGTTTGTATCTGTAAGTTATTGCTAAAAGTATTACCTGTATTTGAGTTGTATACAGCCTATATGTTAAAGCTTATTTCCGTGAGTTTACGAAAATAAATTTTGGTTGCAAATATTTTCAAAATGAGCTGAATAAAGTTTCTGCTGTAGCATGCTAAGCAAAAATGTTGCTCTGTTTATGGCTGAACTGTGATCATTTGTGAAGTGCTTAACTTGAATCTTCAATTTTAAGAGAAGGTCCATCGTATACTTAGGTACACTACACCAAACTCAGGAGCGTTCATATCTGTCTCAATTGATTTTAAAAATCCTTTAATGGGCTTAGATGGGTCTTCAAACACCCTGAATAGGTACTTTAAAGTAAGCATATGCAAAATAGTGCTGCTCCTGAGAATGAGGGTGCACACCTGCAGGGTGAGGGAAATGGTGGATGTATAGGATAGATTTTTAACTGTGATTTAAGCTGGCAAGTGGAGAACCTAAATTCACATCTGCTTTAATGTTTTGAATTTTTACTACTTCAGCTTCTGTTTTTTTCAGTGGTTTTATCTTGCAATTTTGTTAAGCAGGATGGTAACTAATATGCAATACTTAAACAGAGCCTGCATTTTAAAGTAAAATCTAGTTCAGTATTTTAACTGACTTGTATCAAACTGAGTATGAACAAAGATTGGGATTCAGTCAAATGCACAAAAGTCTACTGTGTTTTAAACTTAATGTGCTAAGACTTAATTGGAAATGTTTTGATGTTTTGATACACTGATGGACAAAGGCTAGTGCATACTGTCAATTCAACTGATTTTTGTCTTCACAGACTAGTTTCCTTCAAGGATTTAAGATGGGTAGATCCCATCTGCACACCTAAGCTTTACTTGCATCAGAAGGAAATCATAATTTTGAAGGTGTGTGTGTCCCTGTCCTTTTTCTTTTTTTCTTTCCTCTCCCAACTACGAGTTAGTGTCTCTGAAATTTCTTAACTCTCCTGGTCAAACCATTTCAAAGTGGAAAAGGTAGCATTCTGCCTGCTAGAAAGATGATGGCTTTTGAGAGCATAACTTTAATGGCAAGCTCTGAATTATTCAAGTTCTGTAAATTAAATGTTGGCACTGTTTCAAGTGCTGCTCACAGATGTCTGAGCTAATCTGAGTAGCAAAGGCAATCTATTTGCACTGGCACAGCTGTTTGTCTAGGCTAATATTACCCTGACACACTTTCTTCACAAAAAACTCTAAAGACATGGGGTGTTGTGGAACTTGACTGACTTTACATTTTATTCTAACATACATAACTTAGTGAAATAGTCTGGCTGGAATACTGAATTCAGTATGTTGTTTTCAGTACCTGAGCTAGCTCCATATATCTGCATGATACATAACTGCATGCATAGCAGTAGACAAACTGGTTTTTGTTCATTTGTTGGGTCTGATATGCAAGTAGAACAACCTTATTGCTGAAGTTTTACCAGTTAAGCACTAAATAATGCTAATTTAGGTCTTAACATAACTTGGCTATTTAAAATACTATTTGGTTGTCTTGTTTTAAAATGCAACTTGACGTACATTAAGTCCCTTTAAGGAAAAGTAATTACTCTAATTTGAAGAACTAAGCAGCTTCAGGTTGCCTGAAACAATGTAAGTCTAAGCTTCTTTATGAAACACCCCCTTCTGTTCAGTTCCAAAGTCAGTGCAGGATTAAAGTAAATGGGGAGCAATTTTCCCATTTCCCTATGAAAATAGGAAGCAGGAGAAATCATCTTTTGCCACTGTGAATGCTTGAGCAGCTATTTGTAAGTGCGGCTGGGAAAACGTGGAGTTGAAAATAGGAAGCTCCAGCAGAGGCTCTGGACTTTTGAGTCTTCCCTTTGAGAATGTCAGACCTGTGCCACTGCCTGACTTCAGCTGTGTGGGGCTGACAAAGTGTCTGGAAAACTGAGGACAGTTTTAGTCTGCTGCTCTCAACTGAAGCTGTTGATGTAGCCTGACTTGCAAATTTGAATGCTTGTCTTTTTCTGCTGGCTGTGCACTGGCTTGCGTTTGTGACTCTGCTGAGCTCTTCTGACCCTGGAGCCATCCTTACTGCTTCTTGCTGTTTAAAAGAGTAACTTGGATATTGCCATGCTGAGGAAATTCATGGGTTCTCTTTACAGGAAGAGAATGCTACAGCAGGAACATGTAGTATGCTGAATCAGCACCTTTTAGACCGCACAGGTTCAATTTAAAACTGAAATGTTGTATGAAATCAGCATGTGAAATTGGTCTTAACATCTTGCTTAAAAGTGACCTGTCTTGAACAGAGAACAATATAGAGCTCTGCCTAGTGCTCTGCTATGTGGATGCTTTTGCAGAGAACTGTATTTGTAATATAATTCTCTCTGATCCTTAAGTGTTTAGCCTACAAGGTAGGATGATCATATGGCACTTACTGATAGTTTCAATGCAACATATCTTAAGAAATCCAAAATGGAACTTATGATGCAAAACATATTTTTGCATCAAGAGGTTCTCAAAGGAAGAAATATCACTAAAAAAGCTAAAGTTGTGTCTCAAAAGTATTGTGAGAAGACTGGCTATTGACTTCCACTCCTTTTCCCCTTCCTTCCCTGACCTGTCTAACCAGTGCGAGTTGGGGCTGGCCACATGATTGTGTGCTGGAACAAGTAACTACACTGCAAAATAAAACTTAAAATTTATTATATTCAAGCTGCTGTAGGGAGAAATATAGATGAAATATATCCTCCTAGTGCAAACTTCACAGCATCTCTAAAGGATGTCTGTTTATTATTAGAAGCTCGTAATATTTCAGTTTGCAGAGTGGAGAAATAGTCTATTGCTACAGCATCTTCAAGACCTTTTGGAAACATTTCAAACTCTGCAATTAAATGAAATACTAGAATCTAGATGTTCTGAAATTCCAGCTACTCACTGGAAATATGGGTTTGTGTTCATATAAAGATAAATCTGAAGATACTCAGGCATTCTCTAGTCCACTTTTCATCCCAATGAAATATCTTAGCTACTGCTAGTGGAGATGTTTGACTAATCTGTTCTTCAATGTCTCCAATAGTAGAAATTTTTACAGACTGCACAGGAAATCTGGCACTTTCTTAGGAAAAAAAAATTCCCAACAACAGAAAACCCCCAGCCTTCTCCCTGCCAAACAAATCTGATTCATCGAGTTTTTCATACCAAGTCATGTTTTCTAAATGTCTAATTGTTTCCGTGCTGTTTTCTTTGTCCATCTTCTTGAAGCACGAAACTCGGTTTTAGCCAAGCCCTTGCTGATGCTCAGCGGGAGAATTAGGGCATGTAAGTTGGTCATTGCTGTGTGTTCCAGGATGATGACTGCTTTTCTTCTAATATCACTACCCTCCACATTCTGTTTGTGAGCAGCTGTTATGTTGTCTCCTGTTTGCCACTCTCCATAGATCATTGCAAGCTAGGCAAGCAGCTTCTATTTTGCCATACTGAATTTCACCCGGATTCTTTCTTACTATTTCTCAAAGTTTTCAAAATCCTCTTGCATTCCAGTTCTGAGCTCCCCAGTACTGCCTCCTTTCTGTTGTCAAAAATTCACTAAGAATATCTTTATTCTATCACCCAGGTAATTAACTAAAATACTGACTAGAACTTTATCCTTCAGTAATTCCATTTTTCAAACAGGAGAATGTATTGTGTGAACTGCTTACAACTACTTATTTTCCAACTTTTCTATCCTAGGTTATTTCCCTATCTTATGTCAGACTGTGACATGTACAACTTCTTGACCACCCACACAGTTGTTACCCTTGCTAAAAGGAAATTGAGCTGATTTGACAGTCTCACTGTTTGTATTCTTATTATTGCTGTGGTGCGGTTAAGATTTTAAAATTCTTGAATAAAAGAATTGGACTGAATTGAAACTGCATTATTGGGTTCCCTGGCTTTCTGCTGCTCATTTCCTGGGCTTTAGGTACTATATCAATTCTTCTTTCTCCTGGTGTCTCTTAAAAATTAAGACTTCATCATTAGGGGAGGTTGCTATCTGGCTCAGCTGTCCTAGGACAAAATGCAGCAGGCCCAAGCTACCTGAAAACATTTAGTTTGAAATCATCTAGTGAGCATGCTTTTGTTGGCCTTGGTACTAACTATGCTAGTGACTTGTTCATATGTTTCTTTTTATGTTTGTTTGGTTGGTTTTTTTTGGTCAAAACTGATACAGGTGAAGGTCTACAAGGCCTTCTGGTATCACTGCCTATAGTTTTGACTCCGAGTAGCAGATCAGCACTAGCCGTATTCCTGATTAGATTTATTAATAAATGTACACAATGCTGTTTTCTTTACCCTTGCTGACATTTGCTAATGCTGCCTGCTTTTGTGAGTTGGCTTTTAGGCTAGAAGTTCATACTGTTTTTCATATTTGCATTATAGTAACCATAACTACTTTCTGCATCCTTTCTATGATTACATCTGAAGTTGAAGAGTTGCTTTTAGGCAAGTTGATCTTATTACACCTCTACCTCTCCTTTATTCATTCATTTTTTTGTAAGTATAGGTAACTGTTATGAATAGTTTTCGTTTCTGAAGAAACTGATGATTCTTGTCCCTGTTGTGTGCCCACCCCCCCCACCCCTGGAAATTTTACGGCTCAGCTCTGGATTTGTGGTATGCCCTCTTGAACCCCGGTGCTTTCATCTTACAATACACTAGTCCTTAGGACGTGCCAAAGTTAGTGATGTTATAAGGACAGGTAGTCAAATAGGTGTACAAGGAATACTGTAATAAAAAGACACTGTTTCCAGAAATATTTTGACACATGCATCTGTGCTTTTGTCTCCCTTTTCCTTGTCTTTTTTTTTTAATTACATTGCACTTAAAATCATTACTGATTCAAAAGTCACAGTAGTCTCTGACAGATAAAACTGATTCTATCCTTCATTCAGAATGACAGCTTATTTATGATGCAAGGTGTATATTATTAAAGTAGAAGTTGCAAGCCTTGTGCTTTTTATGCAAACATGTGTAACCTGCTGTTAACAGCTGAGGCGATCATTATCATTGCCATTCTCTGCCCTGCTAGTGATATGAATACCAAGCTAGAAATTCACAGAAGGCCACTGCTCTGGTCACCCTGTGCAGGGATAAAGGTTGCCTGCTGTCCATAGCCCTGCAAAACCTGGCTAAGGGTTT